GGTCAAAAGGTCACAAGAGGGAGGAGACCTTATGCCTAATGTAAGTATGGGTTAGATATGAACCATGTAAAATTGAGTAGAGCAGTGAGGGTCAAGAGGTCACAAGATGGAGGAGACCTTATGCCTAATGTAAGTATGGGTTAGATATGAACCATGTAAAATTGAGTAGAGCAGTGAGGGTCAAGAGGTCACAAGAGGGAGGAGACCTTATGCCTAATGTAAGTATGGGTTAGATATGAACCATGTAAAATTGAGTAGAGCTGTGAGGGTCAAGAGGTCACAAGAGGGAGGAGACCTCATTTACTTTTATTTTAATTTCTAATTTTAGGCAATAGCAAAGGAAGTCAGACATTTCTACAATGAACTTTCAACAAGGGTAAGATTTTTAATCATATCCAATACTGTTGGAGCAATCACATGTGCATGAAAACTGCTAAGCCACTCAAAATTCTTGCATACAGTAACGTCGCAGTCACGACACAACGTAGGAGGAAGAAAATAAAAAAGGAAAGAAAGGGAGGGAGGGAGGAAGGAAAGAAGGAAGGAAGGGAGGGAGGAAGGAAGGGAGGAAGGATGGAAGGATAAATGGTAGGAAGAAAAGAAGGATGAAAGGAAGGGAGAAAGGATGGAAGAGAGAAAAGGACATTTCCAGACAAGCATGAGCAACAACAATTAATTAACAAGTATTATCCTCTTACCGTTACATATCCCTTTTTTATTGAGATCGAGAAGATGGCGTTCTTTCTTATAATGGAACGAGATCTCGGGGTCAACCACCAGGAGATACGGGAAGTAGCAGAAAACTTGATCAAAGTCAAGGTATAAATTGATATAGTAATGATAAATTATGCGTTCGGTGTATGTAATGAAATAGAGAGAATAAGAGAAAACCGAAAACCGCTGTGTTTCTTGATTACAGACTCATTTACTCAGACTAAGTCTCGAATCAGTGTCTAAATATTCACAAATACCAACGATAAAGTAAAGAATGCACAACGTCAACATTACAAACACTTTGAAACTCCAAGGACCTTCACTGGAACACGTGAATGTTCTACATAAAATCGAGGCTAACCCTGAAAAACCGAGAACTCGAAACTGGAGTAAGGCATCGTGGTAGACCTTATGCCACAATCCTCGCCAGCCACATTAGCATGTAATGATAAAAGGGTAAATCATACACCGTGAAAAGATGAAAAAACTTACTGACGTTTCGGACGCTAGTCCTTCGTTTTCATCTTTTCACGGTGTACAATTTACCCTTTCATCATTACTGTTTCATTAGAAACACCGACGCAGCTCACACTAATTTTTAGCTAGTTATCTCATATTAGCATTTAGTGTGTTTAGTGTTTGTCACTTTGATTTTCTATATTTTGTCTTTTGGATTTCAGGATCTTGGCGTCCCTACTGTCCTCCGGGCAGAAGATCGGCTTAGACAGGTCTTAGAGCCACACTATATCCAGCTGTTGTCACACATCAGTAGGTTGGAGGGCGGAGTCAAGTTTATTGTTGATATGAGGAACGATTTATCGGTAAGAGCACCTGTCAATCATTCAATCGTAAAGCAATGGTTCTGCTCAATGGGTTCGAACTGAGTCTCCATACAGTCCATGTAGATGATTATTCTTTTGAGTGTCTTCTCATGCACAACCGTCAAACATACAAATGATACTCTAGAAAATGACACGTAGTCTTAAATGGGAAATATTACACCCAAGGTAAAGAGGACTATTCAATTCGAATATTGCCTAAATTCCGGCTTGATTTTGGTGTACTTTTTTCAGGAAATTCTCAGCGACCAGTCAAACGTGTTTAGTCGTCAGGAGCTACAAGCGCTAAGCATGTCTATCAAGAATGTTTTGGCGCAGTGGTTTGCCGTGGGTCTCTTGGATCTTGAGAGAATTAATTGGAACTCGTCGTGTAGTGTTTTAGAAAAGGTAAAAAAATGTATAGCATCCCGAACATTTTTGCTCTTGCTTGTGCTTGCAATTTATACCAAAGGACCCACAGATTTGACTACTTCGACGATACGACGGTCATCTTGCCGGGGGGCGAAACAAAACAAAGATGACGGGAAATAGAGTTTTGTGTGTTTGTCTTCTTTTTAGAAAGTACACAAGTTGGTATATGCTAACAGTAGTGTTCTTACCAGGCTGCGCCATTGCGGGATTCGCGCATAAAAATTAGAAATGGCGCACAAATGTCAACTCTATGCGCCCCCAAGGCCGCATGAATTATCCAAAGAATACTTCCTAATAGTTTTAAAAGATTTATAGTACTTTTGCAATGATAAAAGTCGCATTATATTGTCAATAAGAAAGGTGAAAGTCCACATGAAACGACACGAATCGAACATAGCCGCCATCTTGTATTTAACTCGCCAAGAAAATTTTATTGTGTTATCATCACTAATAAACCTGTCTTACATTGTTGTAGATTTGCAACAGAGTTACTGACTAAAAACATTATTATTCTTTGTTTTAAGATTTTGGAAATAGCCCATCCAGTTTTCTAAATGGCCCCTAAACTTCGAATTGGTGGGCCCTTTGACCCCCTGATGAAATTCCTGGTCAGAACACTGGCTGCTAAATATATTTATACATATATTATTATCTTATTATTCATTTATAGTTTAATTTTTAGCATATGATTTTCTAGCCCCTTATATTTTTATATTCTTATATTTGCAATACCCTTTTAAAAATCACACATTGTGACATTATTGCTCAAAGAATAAAATCATTCATTCATTCATCCCTGTGACCACTAGATTATCAAGTATGAGGCTGTACACACAATCCAGGGTTGGGAGGACCTCAAGAGACGTCTTGCTCCTGACCGTCGAGTCTATATCTATACCCATCGATCAATGCCACGAGAGCCGATTGTAGTGCTACATACCGCGCTAGAGTACGAGATACCCGATAACATCCAGGTAAAAAAATGACGGGAGCGGCTCGCTGAAAAAATATATTAATATAAAATATATTAATACTGCGCTAGAGTACGAGATACCCGATAACATCCAGGTAAAAAAATGACGGGGGCGGCTCGCTGAAAAAAAATATTAATTTTGGCTGTTGTTTCACAGCGTTGGACAATCACAACAGAGCTACGATTGTAGGCTCCATCCCAAAGATCGAATCGACCTTTTTCTCAAGGTTGTGTGCGCACCAAAATTTAAGGAACTTGACGGGCCACGATACCAGAAGACGAGTATTATCATGCATTGCTGGGGCATTTTTTTCTAATAAGAATTCATAAAATCGATTTTTCTCCTCTTTAAATATAAAACTGGCTTCTCACTGAAATTTACTGAATTTCCGTTATTCAGTTTTGTGGCCCGTAAATTTGGATGCGCACACAACCTTTAGAAAACGGTCTATTGAGTGTTTTCGCTCACGTGAGAAGGCAGCCATATTGCTGTACCAAACAATGGAAACTTTCTGCACAGTATTTGCATAAAAATAGAGTTCGATTCCCCGAGGATAGAAAGTGTATTGTTTTGGTACCCCATAATAGCCGCTTTGACGTCACGAGAAAACGCTCCATTGGAATTTAGAAGTTGATGAGGAAAACCGGAGAGCCCGGAGAAAAACCCTCGAAGCCAAGGATAAAATCAGCAAACAACTCTATGACTCGCATACGACACCGAGTCAGGCAGGACTTGAACCCGGGGAGCATTGGTGAAAGATGCGCATGCGCACGCCACCCGCGCGTGCTTCTCGAAGAGCAGAAGTACTTTAGCACTTCTCTTTGTAACTTGTCTTGTATAACTTCTCTTGTAGGTCATTCTCAGTGAACCAGAAGTAGATATCGATGATTGTGAATACGAGTTGGAAAACAGAACAACAGCAGTTTTTTATTCCATCTCCTCGACACAAAAAGGTTGGTATCTTTTAGTCTTCAAGTTTCTTTCCATCGTACGTTTTAACCGCTTGTCCGTCCCTTTCTCATATATAAGGTATCTTGTACGACCTTTTTCCTTTAGTCGATAGCTCATTTGTTTTATAAAATGACTGTTATAAATATCGCATTCTGATTGTTTGGGAACGCGTGCTTAATGAGAGCACACAGCACGTATTTTATAAAAGAAATAAAAAACTTGCTCACTGTGCTGTGTGGAGTTATAAAGCACTTGGGGATTGGCAAAACACTCGAGAAGTGTCGAGAAGCACTTCTCCTAACAATTCTCTCGTGTTCAACCTATCCCCGCGTTTCTTCAACATTACCTTCGCACTGAGGTTAATACGAGGCGAAAAAGATCCTTTCACGTGCAGACGATTTGATGCAACCTTTTTGTCGATGTCAGAGGCGAATATTTCTGCTACGACTTTACTTCAATAGACTTCTTTACCTTGGGCATTTAACCATTTCAGACCACGTGTCATTCCCTAGAGTATCGTTTCTTTGTTTAACGGTTGTGCATCAGAAGACACATGAATATGGATACTCAAACAAGGACTCTTGTTCTCTAGAGAGTGATAGAGAGAGAAACTTATTGTCAAAGGAATGATACGTGGTCTGAAATTCTTGTTATATTTATCTCTTTTTTTCTCTCGGATCATTAGCAGCTATGCTAGAGGCCTAGCAGATCTCATTTTAAAACCGAGGGTAAATAAAGTTTATATATCTATCTAAGGTAAAAAGGTATAATAGATATCCCAGTGTATATCCCCTTCTTCCACTGCCCCACCCCTAAGGATGACACATATTATGTGCGGGATACAAGGCCTAAGTGTGACATTGAGAACGAAACTAACGGGACGTGTTTTTATCGGAAGGCCTGAGTGGCGTAGATCTTGGTAATTTCCTCATCAAACACGTGGTCCGTGAACTACAACACGAGTTCCCCAACATTACCCAGTATGCAACACTGTCGCCCATCCCTGGGTTCCGTCATTGGCTTCTGTTTCATGTCAACGAAAGTATTGAGAATGAAGGTTAGTGATTGGTTAGGATCCGTTGTCTACTTGATGTAGGAGAGGAAGCAAGAGGGTCGAGCTTCCCTTCTAAAATCCCACTTGCCATTTTTGATTAACTGACTAATAATAATATTATTAATCATGACATTTTATTATTATTATTTATTATTATTTATTATT